AAGCCACATGTATTGTGGGCGGGTCCTGTTTAGGAGGCCATACGAGTCACCTTTACCGAGACATACCTTGAGCGAGACGTGTTTGCGATCTGACTTCCCAATTATTTCATTATTGTGGCACATCTTCTCTGACCTAAACACTGCCAGGTAATTGTGCCCCCTACTTTGTCTGTTTCGTAAATTTTTAAATGCCTTTGGTGGGTGAGTATTTCTGACATGTTGCGTCTTAGCCGAGGCCATTCTCGACCTTGTAGTTTTCGTAACCAGTTGATAAACTGGAGTTACGTTCTAAGTTCACCAAAGATCCTGTTTTTCCGGCCTGAAAGTGGTTGAATACAAACGACCTTGACAGCTGGCTATATTTGCGAGGAAAGTTGCCGGGATGACATACTTTGGCAACGGCCAAAAGGGACCGACAATATCTGAGACGGCAGCACTTTTACACAGAGCTTCGTGATTATGACTCATGTTTCGCATCCGTCATAGGCAGCTATCGTATGGGGTTAACTTTGTGGGTCATTTGTACTTGTGGGAGAGTCGCGGCTTCGCCCTCGCACCCTTTTTGTACCAATTGGTGTCTCAATCGAGGTAAGTGGGGCCAAGCGTGAACGCGGTAGCTGACGCTGCGTAAAGCCTTCGTCTCTGTGTATATGCTACAAACTCATATAGGTCATATTAAGAAGCGTCTCGTCGTTTGCCAGTCTTCCAAGCCATTTTTTGGATGCAGTAGTACCTCCAAGTCATGTCAGACTTGCTATCTTAGATGAGGTTTTCCTGACAGCTCGACTGTCGCAGGCGATGACGTTCACCGTGTGGTCTACGGAGTAGGCGCAGCGCCGTTGACTTGCGCGTGATAATGATAGTGATGGTTGACTTGTGAAGCCCCTATCATACTCTCTTCTTCACCTACAAAACAAAAGATGCCATGACAACTGCAGATGGGCTCGGAGGCAGTGGTTTCGAAAGCTGAACCCTCCGTCTACGCGTGTCGCAAATGACCTGGCCCTGCACAAAGTACCCGTCTTTCACAGAGGACGGCTTGCATCCCACCTGTGGGAAAGGACCAGAAGGGTCACATAT